AGCTCACAAAGTTCATGTAAGATGAATAAATTATCTCTGTGAGTGACGTTGAAGCCAGTAAAATGTCGCAAGAGCTTACCTCAGGTAAATAGATTTTTTTCTCTAAGAAAATCGTAATTTACTTGTCCAATTTGTAGGCAACTAGTTCTAGGAAACTAAATTCTAATTTTCTGAGCCATTTTTGAACTTTCTAGAGAAAGAAAACACACGTCTTAGTACTTTTGACTTCCAGCTCACAAAGTTCGCTCAAAACTCATTCACGATGAATAAATTATCTCTGTGAGTGACGTTGAAGCGAGTAAAATGTTTCAAAAATTCAAGTAATAAATAGATTTTTGTCTCTTAGAAAATCGTAATTTACTTGTCCAATTTATGGGCAACTAGTTTTAGAAAACTAAATTCTAATTTTCAGTGCCCCTTTTGAACTATCTTGAGGAAAAAAACACACTTTTTAGTACTTTTGACTTCCAGCTGTCAAAGTCGGTACAAAGTTTATGTAAGATGAATAAATTATCTTTGTGAGTGACTTTGAAGCCAGTAAAACGTCAGAAGAGCTTACTTCAGATAAATAATTTTTTTTCTCTAAGAAAATGGTAATTAACTTGTCCAATTTATATGCAACTAGTTTTAGGAAACTAAATTCTAATTTGTTGAGCTACTTTTGACTTGAAGTTCACAAAGTCGGTTCAAAGTTCATGTGGGATCAGTAAATCATCTCTGTGAGTGATGTTCAAGCCACCATTATAACCCCTAGATTAGGAATTATCACAGTAAGGATGTACAGTATTTCAATCAGCATTCTGCAATAACTTCAGAACCACCACAACCTGATGATAATTTAATTTGCTTATTCTTGTTGAACTGAGATGAATATAGTTTATCATATATATTTATTAATTATTATATCAATTGCAGATGTTTTATCATAGACATTCACGACAGGTTTGCAAAGGAGAATGAAGAAAAATGTATATTGTGTTTTTTTTTTGTGTTGTCCCTGAATATATGCTCGAGAATTAACAAAGAAATAATACTCAAGGGAAATGACTCATACATGTGGTCTAAAACGGGAAAAAGTTTCAACCAAGCTAAAAAGGTCTGTTTGTTGCAATTGATATTCTAGTGTGGACATTCAAACCCTGAACACTTCAAGTTTTTTTTAAGATTATTATTTTCTGAATTTTCTACTGCTTCAAACCCTGTAGTCCAAAAAACACTTAGTGATCTAGTGATTCAGTCGATTGGCTCAAGGGATAATTTACAGTATATGTATGCATTTGAAAAAAGTAAACTAGGTGTTTTTGGTTCAAACTTCCTTACTGAAAATTAATCAAAACATTGCTAATCATAATATATCATTTTAGTTTACTCCTAATTGAAAAAATGTAGTGGGGTTCCAGAAGGTCATAACATCGAAGCTAAGACCGAAAAGGATTTTGAACACTCCGAAATGTATATTATATTTGCATATAGACACATAAAAATGCACAGTAGAGCAAAGGCAGTCGACCTAGATTAACAACATGCCAAAGCCATGATGCATAAAATGTGCACAGGAAGGGAAAACTGCAATACGCATGAAATTAGCATAATTGTTTGTCTTCCCATGCTCCCCTTCGGTCTTAGCTTTGATGATATAACCTTTTTTTGAACCTGACAAGGCTTTTTCAATTAGGTGTTTCCATATTTTGATAAGCATTGGATGGAACATTCAATCCTCCTTTTAACTTTTTCACTTCTTCATTTCTCATCAAATCCCATAATGAATTATCTAACTCATAAGTCTTTCCCATCCACTGAAAATGAGTAGGAGGGTCTACTTCTTGGTTTCCACGTCTGTATTCAAAGTGAGGGCTGAGTTCAATAGCAAGACTTGATTTAATAAGCCCCACCCCACCGGTCTTCTCTGGCGCAGGGTGGTATATCCGCCCACTTTCTGGTRGCATGCAGACTTTAGTAGGCTGAAAGGGGAACATGAGATCTTCTCCAATGCCGTTACAYGTTAGRTGACCTGCAGAACCTTCATCTGATGCTGAGGGTCCAGTCAAGGTGGCGAACACGAAGGGAACATCACAGCGGATGTAGTTCTTCTCCACCCCACAAGGGGATACGTAAGGGAACTCTTCTTCATAGTGACCAGTACTGTTAAGCTTGATTCTCCGGAAAAAGAACTTTAGAAACATTTTATCTGTGAAAATACAAACATATAATAACAATCATTTTAAAAAAAATTCATTTTAAAAATTTTTCCAGGAATAGTTTTCTGTTTTCAGACCATGTGTCATTCCTTTGAGTRTCATTTCTTTGTTTAACGGTTGTGCATGAGAAGACACATTAATATGGATACAACTCAAACAAAGAATCTTATTCCCAAAGGAATGACACATATTTTGTAATTCCTTTTAAGTAGGGTGTATTTTGTATTTAGTTACACTGTTGAATAAGTTAGATAAATCACTTCAAATAGTAAATAGTCGTGCCAATCCAACAGTTGTGCGAATCTGGGGTTTATTTTAACACAGAATGTGTGAAGAAACTTTCAATTACATCTTAAGTTTTTTCCTGATTTTCAGACCATGGCCACGTGAATTTTTTCAATTTTTTTGAATGTCGACTACAACAGTAAATAGCTTATCTAATTTAGGTGATGTCAACTGTTCAACAGTTAGACTAAATTCACTCTCAAGAAAAGAGAGGTTTATCATTAAACTACAATAAATGAAAAATATATATATTTGACTTACCCTTAAAACAGGTGATAAAGTTCTTAACCTTGGTATCATCTAGGAAAAGCTGATGTCAAAAGAAAATTGGTGAAATTATTGTTGTGCAAAATCTCAGTGGCATAGAGAGTGGGCATGGTGGCCCAGGGGGGGTGGGCTACTCTTGCCCGTTTAGGGTAGGGATGTGCCACTGAGCCCACTGAACCCTGACCCAGTTCCAGGATAAAATCGCTGAACTTCATACCCTGTTCCAGAGCAAGATCACTGAAAATCATACCCTGTTCCAGTATTGCGAAAATGGATACCCTGTTCCAGAGAGGAGAGAGCGCGACCCCACATACCCTCTGCCAGAGCAAGCGTGATCTCACACTCCCAGTTCCAGAGTAGAACCACTGAAAACCATACCCTGTTTGGCAGCATTTACCTGTATAGCAAATATAGGGGAGTACTCCCCCCCCGGGGCATGGTGGACACATGCCTTCAATTATCAAAACATAAAAGAAAAAGTAAGATATTAAAAATTATAAAAATAAAAATGTCTAAATTTTCCTATGAAGATTAAAATATGAATAAAAATGTTTGTTTTTTCTGTTTTCTTTCTTTTCTTTTCTTTTTTATTCTTGGCAATCCCCCMACCCCCCTCCCTCCTCAATTCCTGGGACCTTGCTATGTTGCAAAATTTTCTAACAAACTTCAGGAGATGCATGGGGCGTGGCCATGGATAGCATGCTTGCTGGGATCACCATGTATACACTAGTATATATATATCTCTCTAATATGTCTTTCTACCTTGTATTAATTTTGGGGTGTAATGTTTTCCAATTTCAAACTATGTGTCATTCTCTTGAGAATAAGATCCTTGGTTTAAGTCATATCCATATTCATGTCTTCTCATGTGCAATCGTTATACAAAGAAATGATACCCTAGGGGACCGATCATTTATTACGTCCCAGGGGAGATGGAAATACTGTGGGGGGTACGTCTTTTAAAACCAGTAAAAATTTGGGGCTACGTTTTCGTAATGGCCGAATTTGGGGGTGGGGGGTACGTATTTAGCAGTGTTGAAGGGGGAGGGGTACGTTTTCCATTTTTTTCATTCCCCCCCCCCCCCCCCCTCCGGGACGTAATAAACGATCGGTCCCTAGGGAATAACATATATTTTGTCTGAAATGGGAAAACATTACGCCCAAGCTAAAAAGGTATTTTCAGCATTCATTCTTTTCTTACCTGTCCCTGGTGATCAATAAAGTAGAARTACTCTCTAACTTTAGGAGATGGCGACTGTCCTTGGACATAACTCGCACTCCTGGACAAGATCGCCCCAGCAAATGGTGTTATTATGTAATGGATAGGCAAACGTCTTGGGCTCATCAATCGTATCATGATGAGAAAATAACCCTCAGTAAATATGGCTAGAATGAACCTAGGATATCAATTTTGGATTATTTTTGTGGAGATCGGAGGTATTTTTGGCCTGCAAAATTCTTAGCCGTCCGAAGAAAAATGTTCACTTGTCTTTGTTTTGACAAAAAATTCGACTCGCAAAGGCTCATGAATGGATCACTACGTATGCGCAGCATTCAAAAGTCTGTAACACAGGAAGCCCAACCTTGTCCAGAGGCTGCAATTTTCAAATTCCTCTTTTTTTAAATTCAGGTAAAAATTTTAAAAAATAAATTAAATAAAGATATTCCAGAGGTTGTGTAAATTTTCTAATAGGATTTACAAAAGCTTAAGCACCTTTTTTGTCTGTTTTAAAAATAAAATATTTTCAGTGGGCTTCCTGTGTTTCCAGTCATCGAGCGCCAGTTTCTTCGCTACAAGAAACTTGCTGTCAGAGTGACGGGCGGCGTGGCCATTTTAAACCCCTTTTAAAGGCTTAAAACCCACATTTTCCTGTCTAAGGAGGCTCTTGAACCACTTTTGTAGCCTTGCCAACTATGTGACAGCGTTTCACGCATACWTTTTGGAGGAAAGACGCATTTGAAGTTTCTAGAAGTCAACGGTCGCGAGGGCGCTAAAATGGCTGCTCCGAACAAGAGAGCATGGAAACTCCGTAAGTCTGTAACTTTTATATTATTTCTAGGCGTTATTGGAAACTTTAGCTTCTAAACTATGGCATATTGGTGTGGATGTAGTTGTTTTTGTCGTTGGAAGTGGAATTTTTGGCTTTACTTTTCTAATGTGGTCGAATAACGAGCCAAAAAATTCACTACCTGGTTAGATATCACGCTGCCAGGAAGACCAAATCCTATTCCTTGTTACTTTTRAGGTTTCTCTTTAAAAAAATAAAACTATTTTTATTATTAAATAAGCAATTTATAGATTATTAGAAATTTTTTAACATCTTGCAAAGTAATTTAATTTTGTTTACTGAGATAATCCAGTTTTCCAAGCTGTTAATTTTATATTCGCATAAACTTTAAAAAAAAAAAATTTGAATCTTTTAATATTACTTTCTATCCTTCTTTAGCTGTGGAGGCTTTAGAAAGGGTTCTTAAATCGTTATTTACTTAGTAAGACTAAAGGTATTTTTCTTAGGATTTTGTCAATATTTTAGTAAGTACAATCGCGCAACTTCACATTTTATCAAATACGAATCAGTGTCTCCTAAATTATCCTCTACGATCGGTGAATTTAAAAAAAAAAATCATCCCTTAAGGCCCATTTTGTGTTTAGATCTTTGTCACAGCTAGCCAATGGGATTGTGTACTATCTCCATGGATATAATGCCATTATAAATAGATATATATATGTACAATGCGACTGTATGTGGGATAATGATTAATGACACTTGRCTGAAACCATTGTTTATTTTGCGTGTTAATTTTGTCATGAATTATTCAAATTCTTCATAATTCCTTGTAAAAAAATTTTTTTTATGGAAATTTTTTTTTCTTAATTTTTTGGCACTTTGAATTTGAACAAAACACACCTGTTTATAGAGAAAGTTTTGACCTACTGAACACTGTATAGTGAACACTGTAAATCAGGGTTTGTGCTACTCCTGAAAATCCTTGAAAACTCCTTGAATTTAATTCACGTTTTCAAGTGCACTTGAAAAACTTAATTTTTTTAATGATTTTTGCTAAATTCCTTGAGAACTCCTTGAATTTCTGCTTTGATCGTTACTTGCAAGGTTCAGTCTGAAATAGATCTAGTCATCATGTTTCCATATCAACGTTTTTTCCCTTTAATGATCGAGGGGTACTGAAAATGATTCAGAAAGTCAGCCATGTGCAACCACCGTGTAAAATCATGGTTTAGTTAGCTGAACATACTCCTTGAAAAATCATTTTTGGGTCMTTGAATACTCCTTGAATAGTTCTCAAATCTCAAGTGGATACCTCAACATGAACCCTGTAAATATATCTTACCCTGGTCCTAATATGGATTAAAACTRTGCTCATAATATAATATATATCAACCACCACCCCATTAGCTCAGTTGGTAATAGTGCTAGACCTTTACATGGCTTGGATAACCATGTTAATGACAGTTAAATCCCTAATTAACTAGATACGTTAAAAGAGGACCACAAGTTTATCAGTCAAATTTCTGTCACAAATGTTATCCTTCATAAACGAAGTTAATTTTTAATTTTATATTTAATTTTTTTTTATTTATATAATGTTTTTTATTGCATTTCTTTATRCAGAAGAGTTTGTTGCACATGGATCCAATGTAAATTGCTTGGCGTTGGGRTCCAGTTCAGGGAGAGTAATGGTGACAGGAGGAGAAGATCGTAAAGTCAACATGTGGGCCATTGGAAAACCTAATGTTATAATGGTAAAAAATAATTTATCTCATAGTTTATAGTTAAAGTTACTCTGAGTTAACAGGGCTTATAAGCGGTGGCCACAAGAGCTTTAGCGATGGCTTTGAAGTTGACCGCCTGCTACGTTTTCTTTTTTTATAAATAACCTATTTTCTGTTTCTTGTATCGGATCACAGCCAGCTATGACCACCTACTCTGAAACATTCTAAACAGTCATGGTCAACAAAAGTATAAATTTGGGGTGGGAATTATTGTAGAATTWWWWAAAAAAAATGTTTTCCAAAGCTAGAAAACATGATTGGTGTCTCTTTAGAAATATGTGTTTTGGGGCATCCAAAGTCTAAATCATTTGTTATAATTTTGTGCATTTGTCCTGGCTGACAATGTTCTGGTTATTATTTTACATATCTATCTTATATATCTATTACTAGATATTACTATATATTATTAGATAATAGAGGTTTTGCATCATCATGTGACGGCAGCCATGTTAGATGGCAGGAACAATACAATCGTTTTACATGAGAAAGAATTCAATTTCCAAGAGCAAAGGGATTTTATTGTTCTGCCATCTAGCCACAGGCAGCCCAAGCTGTATTATGGGATGGGCACGTGATGGAGCAAAACCTSTATATTAATCTTATTGTTGTTCTTGCTCTTCTTCTTCTATCTAGAGCTTCACAGGTCACACTAGTCCAATAGAATGTGTTCAGTTTAATGGTAGYGAGGACCTTGTTTTAGCTGGATCACAGTCAGGAACCCTGAAAATATGGGATCTTGAGGCGGCAAAAAGTAAGTTTTCTTGATCTGTTTTAGGAAAACTATATATCTTCAAGTTATTCCCTCTTGGTAATTTTGTTCCTGCYTCGTAGGAAAGGCACCATATTTTATTTTTCCAAAGCTACAGACCAATAATTTTTTTTTAAGTATTAAGGTGTTTTTGTTGCTTGGRTAGTTAAAAAAAGAATTGAYTTGTGTTTCTCGGRRAAAAATTCCRAGCTCCAGAATGGATTCTCTCACCAGCATGAGTTCCAGTAGCTCCGTTGGTTAGAGCGTCTGATTAAGCTAAACAAAAAAATAAGAGTGTTTCCTGTTGCACAACYGACCCTAATTTTGCCGATTTTTGCKGACMATAATATTTTTTTCATTCCCAAATGCACCACAGGGTTCCTAGGCAGCTAATTTCCACTTTTTTATCAGTAAATAAAAAATCCGACCTACCAACCCCAATTATTTTTCTCATGCAACAGGAAACACACTTATTTTTTTGTTTGGCCTTGGCAAACAGAAGGTCATGGGTTTTAATCCCAACGGGAGCTTGGATTTTTCTTTCTGAGAAAAATACACTTGAAGAAACAAATCAATTTTTGTTTATTTTTTTCATTCTTTTCTTTTCTTCAGTTCTCAGAACTCTTACTGGTCATAAAAGTAGTATACGAAGTCTAGACTTTCATCCTTATGGTGACTTTGTGGCCTCTGGCTCTTTAGATRCAAATTTAAAGGTAAAGTAAGGTACTCTGAGAACAGAGTGCTAAAAAAGTTTCTTTCTTATCCTTTGTTTTGTGACTTTGTCAGTAATCCAAATCCATGGAGAAGTTAGAGGATATTTGCCTTTCCAGGGTTGCAGAATGTCTTGCATCAGGGGGCTGTTTTAGTAGACACTCTAATACTTATATGGCATCTTTTTCGCTTGCTGATAGGGAAAAGGGATAGGAGTCTTTCAATTTGCAGCTGCATAAGTTCTTTCGCGTACTGCAAGGATCTGCTCAATTTGATACATGGCAGCACAAATATATATTTCATATATATTCTCATACACATATATATCTTTCCTATCAGGCTGATAAACCCACCTAATGTGTACTTCAAGTCTCATATGAGACTTGGTAGCTCAGTGGTTAGAGCATGGCACCGGAATCCCCGGACGAATTTTTTCTGAGCCTTTCAATTTGCAGCTGCATAAGTTCYTTCGCATACTGCAAGGATCTGCTCAATTTGATACATTACAACCGCAGTACAAATATATATTTCATATATATTCTCATACACATATATATCTTTCCTATCAGGCTGATAAACCCACCTAATGTGTACTTGAAGTCTCATATGAGACTTGGTAGCTCAGTGGTTAGAGCATGGCACCGGAATCCCCAGAGCATGGGTTCAAATCCCGTTCAAGACTCAGAATTTTTTCTGAGTCTTTCAATTTGCAGATGCATAAGCTGCTTGATATACTGTGAGGATCAGCTCGATCTGATACTAAATTTTTGTGTTAATTTTTTAAATTTCTTTTATTCCTTGATGCATGAAATGTCAACTGAAGTGTCCCTCAAAACTTTGGAAAAGCTAACAACATATCCTTTAACAACAAATAAGGCTCATGATTTCTTGTCATTCCTTTAGTTATGGGATGTTAGAAGAAAAGGATGTATATTTACGTATAAGGTAAGGACTTTTCCTTATAGCCTTTGTAAAACCAGACAGTCTTGACTAGAAGAAACAGCAGACTTTCTGTGATGTAAAAAGAAAGAAAGTACTGTGTTCTACAGTAATAATATTTACTTAAAGGGGCACTGAAAATCGATGAAAATTGGAAATGACCTGAAACTTAGTTAAACTATAGAGTGCACGCACTAAAACCGTGAACATTAATTAGTACTAATTAGTACTATTTCATACAGAATCCTTTGTTTTCTATTGTTTATTTATCACCATTTAGTACTAAAAGTTAGTATTTGTTTCATGGGTTTAGTGTGTGCACTCTATCTAAACTTGGTTTAACTTCATCTATATTGCCCCAATAGTAGTGAAGCAACATGTTTTCTTCACAGTCCAAAGTGGCGGATAAAAATTACCAATTTAGGGGGGTAGGGGGTGTCCATGTTCTCCATCTGAATTTCACAACTGGCTATGTTGCAATTTCAAAATCTTCTTGTATTGCCTGTCAGAATTTTACCCCTAAGGCTGCGTTCATAATGCATGGCAAAGTGGGGGCAGGTGAAATCTTTAAATGACAAAAAAATTCTTAAGACCCTTCTTGAAGTCCACCAAAAAATAACTATCCCCCCCTGGGCAATCTCTGGTAGCTTCTTATAAAAATTTTGCATCCCTCCCGATTCTCTTTAAAAAATTTTCAAACCCCTCCCCATTTTACTGGTAAAAATTTTCCCGACCCCCCTAAACTTCACCTGCCCCCCCCCCTCTGCCATACATTATGAACACAGCCTAAAGTAAAATGTTGGTGATTCACTAGAGCAGTATGTCCTTTGCTACTAGGTTGTGGCTCTTGTGTCCCGTTTCACAACCATGTTGCTAACTGRGCCTCATACCAGGTCCACTAGCAAGAGTCCAAAGCAGGGTTATTATAAAGTTTTCTATTTGTTCACTCACCAGGGTCATACAGACTGTGTAAATAATTTAAGATTTAGTCCAGATGGTAGATGGATTGTRTCTTCAGGGGAAGATGGAACAGCTAAGGTAATGGAATTATAATTATTATTCCAATAATTATTATATTATCAATAATTGTTTTTGGTTGTAGCAGAAACTCTCTTATTAAGGTTTTGTCCGTGATGTAACACTGTGGAGAAATTTGCTTGATCAAAGTTGTCATACCAATATGAGTAAAACTGCAAAGTTTTGTAAAGATCACACATAAACTATTGAAGATACTATTCTTTTAAAACATTAAAAATTTTACAAAAAAATGTATTTTTTCTGAGTCTTTCTGAGTCTTTCAATTTGCAGCTGCATAAGTTGCTTGATATACTGCGAGGATCAGCTCAATTTGATACATTACAACCGCAGTACAAATATATGTTTCATATATATTCCCATTCACATAAAAAAATGTATGTTGGCAGCAAATTTTGTACATTGTATATCCTCTGGATTACCGACAACCTTCATGAAACTTTAAAATTTTACTTTATGTGTATATGAGCAATTTCACTGTAAACTCTTTTTTCTGATAAAATGAAAAAATAAAATTTTTTGATAGAGTGACATCTTAAAAACCTCGATAAGATTCTGATTGTGTAGGCTTATGAGATGTAGCTTTGAATAGTCCCTTTTCTCATTCTGTAAATACAGCTGCGTTTCAAGACTGAAGACGCATCTCCGCAGGCTTAGCCTCCCTTAAGAGTAAATCATTTGCAAAATGTCAACTTTAATGTAAAGAATGTGCAGCTTGAACAATACCAATGTTTTGAAATCCCACGGACTTTTAATGGTATCTGTGAATAGCTGACTTATAAACAAGGCTAAGCCTGTGCAAATGAGTCTGTAGTCTTCAAAAACAGCAGTATGCATTGAATGTGAAACTGGTGTATTTCCCAATGGATTTAACTTTGACTCAATCTTTTGATCATTACTACTAGATATGGGATCTTACTGCTGGGAAGCTAATAAATGATTTTAAACTACATTCTGGGCCAGTTAACTGTGCGGAATTTCATCCTAAAGAGTTCTTGTTGGCAACTGGGAGCAATGACAGGTAAGYACTCTATTATTTATCACAGTCAAAACATTTCTTCTTCATGTAATTTGAGATTTTTAATATCCAAGCTTTTGGGGTCCATCATCAGGGATGGAATAAAATTAAAAATCTTAGAGAAAACTACCCAATAGACCCTTTTCGAGTTCCAAATTACTGCTGTGTTTCTTGATTACAGACTCATTTACACAGGGTTAGCCTCGATTTTGTGAAGAATATTCACATGTTCCAGTCAAGGTCCTTCAAGTTTCAAAGTGTTTGTATTGTTGAAGTTGTGCATTCTTTACTTTATCGCGGTTGGTATTTGCGATTAATTAGACACTGATTCGAGGCTAAGCCTGAGTAAATGAGTCTGTAATCAAGAAACACAGTGGTAATTTGGAACTCGAAAAGGGTCTATTGAAGTATATGAGGATAGTATGACTCAATTATGACTATGAAAACCAGATAGTGGAAATATTCTGGGAGCCACTTGCAGTTGAGAAATTTTGGTTTACAGCCATTCTCAATCGCACATGCCCYCTAGCAATTGTTTCTGTCCCRACAAAGAAGGTTTTGGTGGACGTCAATCACAAGGTATATCCATAATATTGTCGGAAAACACCAAGCTATAATGGCACGTGCCTATAGAATCTCATGGAAACGCCTTGATTGACGTAAGTAGTATGGTAAAGAGGTCTATTGATGTTACTCAATACTTCTCAAGAGGTTTTCTTTTTCTTTCTTGAAAGATTGACACTTGAGGTCAATTTGACTTTCTTTTTTTTTTTTTKACAGAACTGTTAAATTCTGGGATCTGGAGACATTCCAGCTTGTATCAAGCACTGATGTAGAAACATGTCCCGTCAGGTGAGCCACTTGTCAATCACTTGCAATTGTTATGCTGTTACATTTATGGCAAAGGGTGTGTATCACCATGGTWACCATGGGATGAGTTTGGTCAACAATCCATCAATTTTCTCTCGGGTTGAAGAGTTTTTGGATCACAGACCCATGTTATCAGGGGCGAATCCAGGAATTATACRAAGGGGGACTGCAAAACCTGGTGTTAGAGGAACCTCTATGAATCAGAGAAAGAGGGGCTAGAAAACTKCAGCATTAGAGGAACTGCTATAATTCAAAGAAAGGGGGTGGGAAATTTCGTTATTAGAGGAACCTCAATGACTAACCAAAATAAAAGGGCAGCCACAACCCCTTGGGCCTACCCCTAAATCCGTCCATGGTTACTAATATTAATACTTAAGGCATTTTCCATCAGGTCTAGCCTACCAGTCCATTCTCAAATGGTATGCGTCAGTTCTTTAGAACTGGTTAGCCAAGGTCTCAAAACTCRATGAGAACTAAAGCGTACCATTTGAGAACTGGCTGTTTGGATTGCTTGGTTCGACCTACTGGAAAGCACCCTTAAGCACACTCAGTGCCAGCCAGAAATTTGGTATTAAATTAAGGGTACACTTTATATATGAATATTGTACATTTAATCCTTTATTGTAAATTTTGCATTGAATAATTTGTATTTTTCATCTCTGATGGTATAAATAAAGCCATAAAACAAGTTCTCTTTTTTTTTACAGATGTATAGATTTTCATTCGGAGGGGATTGCTTTGTTCAGTGGTGCACAAGATTCCCTTAAGGTGAGTCAACTCGGAAATCACAGATGATATTATAACAAAAATCATGGGTTTTTCTCTCCACTACCCAAAATTGGAATGTGTTGTTTTCATTCTATAATAATAATGAAGGGCTACATGCGAAAACGCCTAAGTGACTTTTTAGGTAAATTTCAAACTTTGTTTAATTGAAACAAAAATATCACCAAACAGCTTATTTTAGTCCAAATATCGATCTTTGCGATTTATTTTATTAAATTTATTCTTAACCCTTAGATATATGGCTGGGAACCTGTCAGATGTTATGAAAGCTTTGCTCTTGGTTGGGGGAAAGTTGCAGATTTTTCACTTGTCTCAAACCAGTTGGTATGTAGAATTGTTAAAGAGTATATCAAGGAAAAATCACTTATGTGAACATGAGAGATGAGAAAGTAAGCCGTGTGGGATGGGCTCAGAAATCATATAAGAACATGTGTAATAGGTATGTGACTTGAAGTTGTGAAAGGCCCATTGGCACTCTTCTTCAGTCGTTTCATACATGGCTCGTAATTTACCTATTACGCATGTTCTTATATGTGAACAGTTAAGTAGTATGGTTGCAGTATTTCGAAAACAATTTTTTTTCCTTGATATACACTTTAAAACTACTTTTATGAAAATTTTATGATTATGAAGGTGCTGTGCTCTGAAAATGTTCTTCAATTTTCTTCACTAGTTTATGAAGTGAAAAATAAGAAAATAATTACTACAATTTAAAAACATTTGTACCATTTTTTCGTGTCCTCTCTTTTGCAATGTGAAGAAATTAGTTGGAAATTCCAGAGGGGTGGGGGGACTTTTTTTTTAAAATTTCCATATATATTTGGTAGGTATGGAAAATTCTGGAACCACACAATCTTCACTTTTTTGTTTCCTTTCCCTTCTTGTGATTGGTTTAGCCAAATAATCTTAAATTAATGTCCAATTGTTAATAAATGTATTATATATTCTGATTGTATTTAGATTGGTGCTGGATTCCACCAGTCCAATGTGGCAGTATGGGTAGTAGATCTAGGGGTATGTATCTTTTCTGCTATATCAAATAGAAATCATATACTAGGGAATGACATGTGGTCTGTAATGGTCTGTAATGGGAAAACAGTGGATTAGWTGTATTCRTCAAATCCTATATATTCACAGGGACCRCGGAGCATATTGAAAAGGATAGGGGGGGCTTGCACTTGAAAATTAAGCATATTCTCAATCAAATTTTAGTGGGAAAAAAACGTTTTTTATTCATATTYGTATTTTTGGYGCAAAAAGCTCCCCCYGGCTCTGCGGTCCCTGATTCAACACCACATCATTACCTTGACTATATCAAATAATGATAATATTCCTGCTATCTCCAGCACTTAGAAAACCTCATAGCAAAAGCTAATGAAGAAAAGAGTGATGTAGGGAATTACGTTGGGGTAAGTAACTTTGACGATTATTATGAACAAGCGTGTGGGTATGTTGGCTAGTAAGTGTGCTGCTGCCTACTTTAAACCAGTTTCATAGTTTAATACTCAGTGACTTCACACACTTGCTTYGGCTATCTCTATCCCTAGTTCTTGTTGCAGAAGCTTTAGTTTTTCTTTTCTTTTTTTCAAGGTTGAGTGAAGTTTATCCAAATCAAAACAACATTTCTTGACATGCTTAATTTTTACCCACTTCGGCGACTATATATATATATATATATATTTTTTTTTTTAATGTTTCACTATCATTAGATTTAGTTTTTCTGATGTATCTTTTAGGGTGTTGAAATTGAAATTTAGAATTTGGGCAATCCTTGGTATCTTTTAAGGTGTCTCTTTATGAGCTAGAAATCATTAAATCATGCCATTTTTAGAAGACTTCCAGAATCTCTTAGGGATATTTTTGAAAAATTTCCACAAGCATACCCACTGATTTTACCCCAGAGTACCCCACCCCTGGGCTCCTTCCCCCCCTTTCCCACCACCCCTGAGCATTTTCCTGTGCACCCCAGTTCTATATTATCATGTAGTTATTCAGACCAGTAATACCAGTAATATCTGGCATCTCTGTATTCTCTGCCAAAATTGTCTCCCAATATCTACCCAATTCTATTCCAGGAGGTCCAAAGAGAGAGTGCTCCTGTTATTGAGCAAGTACTGGTCAAAGCCCCATCCACAAAAACGTATGTTTATTCACACTTTTATTAAATACTGTCATTATTTTAGAATTATGGCATAGCAAAGTTCTCACTGACATCACCTATAGACCCCTTGGGTGTAATGTTTTGACCATTTCAGACCATGTGTCATTCCCTAGAGTATCATTACGTTGTTTAACGGCTACACATGAGAAGACACATGAATATGGATACAACTCAAACAAAGGATCTTAATTCTCAAGAGAATGAGACTTGATGTGAAATGGAAAAAAAATTTAGTCCCAAGTTTTATATAACTGCAATTTTCATAAACATGCAAAATCTGTCTGAGTTGCACGCTGAAATTAATCAGTCGTTACCTTTCATATTTTTGACTGACGGCAGTGAAAAAACAAATTTCAGCGTGCAACTCAGAGACACAGAGTTTGTATGTTTATGAAAATTGCAGTAATAAGTCAAGTAAAGCTCTATGAGCTACTGAAACAAATCTGGGTGAGAAAACATCTTTAATGTCAGTACTTTTAATATTGTAGTCCTCCCAGACGAGCCTTTAACACAGAACGGCCACAAACAACATCAACAAAAACTAAGTAAGTCACCAGTACAAAGACTGAAATTTTTAACTCATTGGTGAATTTTATCGCTTTTTGATTGATCTAGAGCTGAGGGAGATAGAAGGATAAACCAATCAATTGCATCAGCAAATCACGCGCCGGCTTGAAACTGTTTTTATTGCAATTTTTAACCTTGTTTTCATAGTTTTAGCCCTCTACAAAAGTTAAAAATTTTACTCAATGCCCTAACCCTTTGAAGCCCTTCCCCACCCCACCCCCNNNNCACAAACACACACAAACAAACAACTCCCCACCCTCTCCACCCAATAAAAAGGTACTTTGTGGTACTTTCCCTAAATGGAATAAAAGTTATATCAGGATAAACATTTTAGTTTTTTGTGCAAAAAAAGAGGGGTGAATAGACACCCCCCTTCCCCTCCCCTCCCCTGGAACCACCTTAATATGATGTATATTGTCTTAGGTCATCACGTCCCAGCCCTCCAATAGTAAAAGAAGAACCACCAGAAGAACCAGAGGAAAAAGAAGGAGCCGATGAAGATAACATGGAAGCAGTATTTCAAGCCAGAACAAAGCTAGGTAATCCACTTAATGCTTTGCCATTTGCAGACCATGTGTCATTCCCTAGAGAATCATTTCTTTGTTTAAAAGTTGTACACGAGAAGGCACATGAATATRGGTACAACTCTAACAAAGAAACATCAAAGTGAAGCCCAGTTACCTAATTAGGTAGTAGCAAAAATCACAAATTAAAGTTATCAAAAAGTTGTCAAAAAGATGTCAAAAAGAAATCAAAAACTTTCACACTGCTGCTCACATTACAGCGTGTAGCACAGTAACTCTTAAATGAAATTAAATCAGTACAGATGGCTTGTAGCCTAGGATCACAGTGTTATTAACTGAATGAAATAATGATAATATTAACAGCAGTGTTATTAGTTAACATTAACTTGTGCATCCATGTAGATCGATCGCCGAAACCAAAAAAGAAACACGAACCGTTCCAAGCACCAATTGATGATACGCCAGGTAAATAGAACTAAACTAAAAAGCTCCTAGGTATGCTCCTACCTTTAAGGCGCTGACACACGGTGCAACATTGCACACAACATTGCATGCAACAAATTTGAATCGGGGTGACACACATTGCAACAAAATTATGCAACATCACTTGTGTCAGCCTGTTATGTTAAGATATTTGGTCAGCGGTTATAAATTTGGTGCAAGCTGATTGGCTGGAAATTTCAAAATGTTGCAGGTGATGTTGCAGCCATGTTCTCATGATGAAATTTGTTGCGAGCAGTGTTGCCAGAGTAGAGCGCGATTCAACTTCAGATTTGTTCGTGCAAACAATTTTCAGGTGTAGACACAAGCTGCAACAGTCCTGTTGCGTGCAATGTTGCATGCAATGTTCTACTGTGTGTCAGCACTTTTAGTTAACATCCTTTCCTCTTCTTCCTGGTCTCCATGCTCCCAGGGGTTTCCAACGACCATGATCCTTTGTGTTTAAATGATAGATTGTTGAAGATTGTGTTGATGTGACGTCATAGTGAATTAGAGCAATTGTAATGACTTTCTCTGATCATTCTTTTAACTTAAACCCCTTTATTTGCTTTCTTGATGTTTTCCCTTTTCCCTTCCTTTCTAAATAAATAAGTTACTTGCTTCCAAGTTAACTGGATGCCACTACTTTTCAGCCCCAGCACCTACGCCTGCTCCAGCACCTACACCTATCAGCAGAGTACCCATCATGCCAGAACCTACGAAGGTAAAACATTCAATATTTTATAAATTGCCAATGAAGTTGGCAAACGTAGAGGATTTTTGAGTTTGTTACAGAAGTACATCATTTCTTTTGTTCTAAAAAGGTTTTCTTAGAGTACACTCCATAAAAGGTAGTGTGCATTGTTTTGGTACTGGTTTTGAAAAACTGTTAAACTAGTTTTTGTGTAAATATATCTTCAATATATCTTTTAAGGTCTGTGTCGTTTTTAGGCGTGGGATCAGCTATCTCTTATTGGTTAATAACTTGAACTACACACAATTTCTTCCAATGATGTGGCGCAACATCATACATACTTTTATAGAAAAAATCTAGATGATCAATTAACTTTGAATGTATAAAATTTCCTCACTTTTAAAACACTCCCTTTCAATTTCTCAACTTTATTACTTCGTTGGCACATTCAGATCCCATTACTAGACCTAGTGTTTGGTATGACAAGTATGTTATGAGATCAGAATATCTCAAACGGAACACTGTTTGATATTCCTTAATGATATTATTAATCTTATTTGTTTGCTATGTGCATAGCCCAGTCAACCTGAGCCAGTTGCTTTGACCCAGACCAAAAACATTGTGCCGTCAGAGAGAGACAAGCCAGCAGGTCTGCACATGTCAGACTTTCTACCGGTATGTTAACAGTAGCTAATTCACAGCATATCAAGGGCGCTGGGGGGGACTGTCCCCTCCCCCCCAAAAAAATGTGACTTAAAAGACTAAAATTCATATGCTTTTTTCTTTTTTTGTGAAAGATTATTTGATTATCTAAATATTTTATAGTATATATTTCTCTTTTGATACTACAAGTTACTGTTCTGTACCTTGTATCTGGGCACACAATTTCATTGTCATGCAGAATTCCTGTGGATAAGGTGGGACACTATAAACATAAAATGCCTACGTGTGTGGTGGCATGAACACGGCACATTGCCCCTCCCCTCTGTGTGGTGGGAAAATGGTACATTGCCCCCCCCCCCCCCTGTGGGCAAAGTTTTACTACGCCACTGTAAATGGGTCTGTAATCAAGAAACACTGCCTCGCTTTGCAAATCTGTAAATTTTTTATTTTATATATTAAAAAGGTAAAGCTTCATTTTTATTTTGATAACTTGGTGAGTGGTTGCCCAATTCTCTCGAGCCCAGGGTTCATGTATAAGGTGCTTGAAGGCACACACTTTACCCCCTCATACTATCAGTGCTCCTTATTACGGTTATTTAAAGCTAAAGCTGCGCAGAACAGAGGGTATTCATGGGCAGACGTAGAGATCCTGAGGATTCAACCCTGAACCTCTAGATCTGAAGGCTATGCACTAACCGAGCTACTCCTACTATAATCGTTTTTTAATGTTTCTTAGTCTCAAGCTGTGATCACACCTGAAATGCCAATAGATGTACCCTATGATGATAATAAGTTTATTCCTCCGGAACCAAAAATATCTGAGGCAGAATGCCTGGACATGCTCAACAAGAGTAAGTAAAAAGTATTCGTTATTATTAATACTGTCTTCATGTTTTATCGAATTAATTATTGTTAAAGTGTTTGGTTTGACTCACTTCTTTAATTCAAAATTTATCAACCAAAACTGTTTGACATCTCTTTTATCAAACATTGAAACAAATGCTGGGGTGATCCAAGTTGGGGCAGGGCAGATCAAACCCTGAAACAACCTCTGGGCTGATCTAAGCCAGGGCATGGCTAACTCACAGATAGAACCCTCAAACAACCTCTGGGCTGATCTAAGTCAGGGAACAGCTAACTCACAGATCAAACCCTGAAACAACCTCTGGGCTGATCTAAGTCAGGGCATG